CCCCTTCCTGGTCAGTACCGTCCCCCTCCCCTCCCCTGGCCCGGCCCGGCCCGGCCCGGCCCCTGACCTGCTGCCTCCCGCAGGTGCAGCCCGACGGCGCCAGCCTGCGCTACAACGACTACGCCTGGAACCAGGTGGCCAACGTGCTGTACCTCGAGTCCCCCCTGGGCGTGGGCTTCTCCTACTCGGACGACAAGCAGTACACCACCAACGACACCGAGGTGAGCGAGCGCCGGCTCCAGCACCCGCCTCTGGCCCATCCCCTGCCTCCCGCCTGACCCACTCGCCCCGCTCTCTGTGCAGGTCGCCCACAACAACTACCTGGCCCTGAAGGAGTTCCTGCGCCTCTTCCCGGAGTACTCCAATAACGACCTGTACCTCACCGGCGAGAGCTACGCCGGGATCTATATCCCCACGCTGGCGCAGTGGGTCATGCAGGATCCCAGCCTCAAGCTCAAGGTGAGGGGCAGGCGCCGGCCTCGTCCCTGGCGCAGGGGCGGGGGTGGGCACGGGCAGGGCACCGTCGTGGGCCCTCTCCCCGCTGCTGCACTTCCCACCAAGCCAGACTGGCTGCGGAGGGCGGGAGGCAGCGGTGGGCCACTGGCGGGAGGCGGTTGTCGCTCTGGCCCTGTAGCAGGTGTCTCCTCGTGGCTTTGCAGCTCCCCAGGGTCTGTTGCAGGGTGTCCAGGGATGCCATGCTGTGCTCCCTGCTCCTCTGTCAGCCTGCGGGTCCCAGAGTCCTGGACGTTGCTCCTTCCGCCACTTGGCTGTTGCTGTTCCCCCTGCACCCCCTCTTCCTTTCCACTGCTAACTGCGTCCTGTGGCTGCGTCCCACTCGGCAGGTGCCCTAGGCACACCTGGCAAAGCCTCGGTTCCCATCTAACAGCCGTGTCCACCTTCCAGGGCCTGGCTGTGGGCAACGGCCTCTCCTGCTATGAGACCAACGACAACTCCCTGGTCTACTTCGCCTACTACCACGGCCTCCTGGGAACCCAGTAAGGCTCAGGTGGAGGTGGCAGGTGCCAGGGTCCGGCACAGATGGGAGAGGCTGCGGCTGCGGCTGCAGCCACGGGCCTCTGCCATAGCCAGCCTGGCTAGCTCTGCCCACGGATCCTGGCAGCCCTGGGGGGTGGCCTGAGGCACCAGCAGTCCCTGCCCCCACAACAGTGAGGGGTAGAGGCGTTGGATGGTTGTGTCTCTATCTGTGGCTCCTTTGCTCCTTGCCCCAGAGAAGGCTGGTGCTAGCAAAGTCTCTGCTTTGGCTCTTGCTTGGGGCCTCTGTGTTGGTAAAGGCCGGTGGGAGCAGAGCAGGCACCAGGCCTGGGGTTGGGCTGGGAGAAGCTGTGCCAGGCTAGGGCTGGCCCCAAGTCTCCATGTTTTGCCCAGGCTTCTGCTGCCCTGATGATGGGCACCTGTGGAATTAGCCACCAGGGCCACGGGGGAGCTCCGGGCTCTCCCTAGGGCCTGGACCTCTGCTGCCCCATGGGGAGGGCCACCACATGGTGTGCTGTGGAAACGTGCAGCAGTCTCCCCCAGTGCAGGGGGCCCGTGGGCTGGAGTAGCTCCTCCCTATGCCCCTCACCGCATCTCCCATTTCAGGCTCTGGCAGGACCTGCAGACCTTCTGCTGCTCGCAGGGGAAATGCAACTTCCACGACAATCGTAACCTGAACTGCACACTTAAGGTGAGTGGGAGCAGCCATGGGTAGAGCCCAGCCAGCCCTGCTGCGCGGCTTGACTGGCCACGGCATCATCTGCCACATCCCTGCACCCTGGGCCAGGCTCTGCAGCAGCTGTAGGGCTCTTGCCCTCCCTGGGCCTGCAGGCCCAGGCCCAGGCAGTGGGGCCACGACAGCCAGTCAAGGCAAGCCAAGTCAGCTGGATCCCAGCACCCACCTGCCACTTGTTGCAGATGACGGAAATGATCAAGATCGTGGATGAGTCTGGCCTGAACATCTACAACCTCTACGCCCCATGTGCTGGTGGCGTCCCTGGAGCCTTCAGGTAGGAGCAGTGGTTCTTGTGGGGGTGTCAGCTTGCTGACAGGACCCTAGGCAGGCTCTGTGCAGGACAGGGGCATGGTGGACATCTCTGCCAAAGCAGGGGTCTTGTCTGATTTTCCCCTCCCTGCCAGGAGAAGGAAGTGGGTAGCACTGGGGCAGCCCCGTGCCCTGATTCTCAGGCTGCTCTCATCCTGGTGGCAGGTATGAGGGGAGCCAGCTTATCACCCACGACCTGGGCAACTCCTTCATCAGGCATTCCCTGAAGTTCTCCTGGAAGCAGGTGAGTGTCTGGGGCTCATGCTCTGCATCCTGCTCCTTGTGACACTGGTCAAGGACTTGCAGGCTGGCCTCTGCTACACTGGCTCCCTAGCAGCTGTGGCGGGCTGGCCCGCGGTGCCCCAGTTGGGGTGGCAGAGGGGTAGCTGGCTGCATCGTGCAGGGTTTGGGGTGGCTGGCTCACTGTCCGAGCAGTGAAGTGCCTGTGCTAGTTGCTGCTGCTTTCATGGCTGCTTCTCCCTCAAGAACCTGCTCCAAATGGCAGTGGCCAAGAAAGCGGTTCGGCTGGACCCCCCTTGCACTAACACAACTGCTATCAGCAACTTCCTGAACTCCCCCGAAGTGCGGAAGGCCCTGCACATCGCCCCAGAAGTCCCCAAGTGGCAGCTGTGCAAGTAGGCAGGGGCTAGGCTGGAATGGGGGTGGCTGCAGGGAGGCGAGGGGCCTGCATGACTGCTTCTCCTGTTGCAGCTTTGAGGTGAACCGCAGCTACAAGCGCCTCTACACCACGATGAATGACCAGTACCTGAAGCTGCTCAGCTCAGGGGTGAGTAGGGGAAGGGGCGGGGGTTGGGTCCTGGCTGCCTCTAGACCCCTTTCTGGGGGAGGGAGCATGGCTTGGCTCCAAGTGCTGGCTGTAGCCCTTGCCTCACCTCCACTGCTGCCACGGGTCTCTACCATGGGTGCTTCAGGGCACTGCTGAGCCTCCATGCCCAAGGCTGCAGGGCAGTGCACAGAGCTGCTGTTCACAGCCTGGCTGACACTCTTGTCTCTGCAGAAATACCGGATCCTGGTGTACAACGGCGACGTGGACATGGCCTGCAACTTCTTGGGGGATGAGTGGTTTGTGGACTCCCTGGGCCAGAAGGTAAGTGGGTAGCTGGGGCAGGGCCTGGGCTGGGGGGCACTTGCCAGAGTAGCCTGACTTGCTGCAGGGGTGAGTGGGGGGAGGCAGTGCAGCAGCCTCTGGAGGGAGGGGAGGCGCATCGGGCTATGAATAGGTCTCTAGCCATCCCTGGGGCGCTCTGGTACCAGGGCAGTGCCTCGGAATTGCAGGGGAGAGGTTAGGCCTATCAGTCCTGTGTGCAGATGCGGCCATTAGCTCGCAGAGGTGGCTCTGAGTGCACTGGGCTTCTGTTGCAGGTGCAGGTCAACCGCAGGCCTTGGCTGTACAAAGATGGGGGCGTGGACCAGATCGGGGGCTTCGTGAAGGAATTCACCAACCTTGCCTTCCTCACCATCAAGGTAACGGGCACAATGGGGGATTTGGAGCTGCTTTGGCCTGAGGCCAGTACCCTGCCCGAGCTGTGCTGCGCTGCATACTGCCTCTTCCTGCCTGCACCCTCACCGGGTGGTGTTCTGAAATCTGAGCTGCTGCTGTGCATCTGGCTGTGCTGGGGGCTGCATGACCGGGGTCCGGGACCAAGCAGAACCTGCTTTGTCCTCATGTGCATAACTTACTGCTCCTTGCTGGGGGGCCATGCAGGGCTCTGCCTGGGCTGTCATGTGGCTGGAAGATGCTGCCAGCACTCACCCTCCTCTGCCTGTTCCTGCAGGGGGCCGGGCACATGGTGCCCACGGACCAGCCGCAAGCTGCCTTCACCATGTTCAGCCGCTTCATTCACCGCCAGCCGTACTAGCAGCCGCAGAGCAGGGTTGCGTTTCCTGCGCTGATGCCTGGTGCCCCAGCCCTAGGCCCTTCCCTGCAGTTGGCCACTCACGGTTTGATGGCCACAGATACGGGTTCCCAACGGCGCTGAGGCTCCTGTTTTCCTCTGGTTTCCTGGCAAGGGGCACCAGACTCTGCTTCATTCCTGACACCCCCCCCACCAGTGCTAGGGGTCTCAACCCAGCTGCTTCAGTGCAGGCAGGGGGCCGGAGGAGACGGCAGTCTCCCTGCTGGGGCTTTTTCCTCCTGCCCCGAGCGCTGGAGCCAGCTGCTTCCCTTTGGCTGGGAGCAGCGCACAGCACTTCCTCTCCCACTCCAGCCCCTGCACGCACGTCCTGCCCTGGCCCTGGGCAGCCGCAGGGGCTCCGAGCAGGCCCCCGCCCCCAGTACAGATTCTCACAGCTGGTGGCTCTGATGCCTCCTTCAGGGCTCAGGGCCCAACGGGGCCTTGCAATAAACAGTCTGACCAAACTAGCCCGAGTGCCTGGGGCCTCCATTCTCCTCCTCGTCCTGGCTGCAATGGGCAGGAGCCTGGCCCAGCATGGAAAGCAGGGCAGAACCCCTGCACCCCATGCACAGCACCTGGCAGTGGCCCCCTCCCTGCCTGTGAGGACCCTCATAGGGAACTGCCAAGTCTCCCGCCAATGGGGGGTTGGAGCCACACTGGCTCTTGGGTTCCCCCAGTCCCATAGCTACAGGCCAGGCCGCAGCAAGACACCAGCTCCCAGGCAGAGTTGAGACCTCTTTATTAGTGTAAGAGCAGGCGCCAGGCCCTGCAGCTCGCCCGGCCCGGGGCTGCTCCAGGACGGGCTCCTGAGACTGGCCGGGCAGGCACTTTACCTGGGAGTGGAGCGAGGGCACAGCTGGACCCAGGGCGAGGGCAGCCTGGAGCTGCTGGGCGCAGTGTTAGTGAGTCAGCGCAGCGGGGGGAGCCGGGGGCGGGCAAGGCGGGCGCTGCACCCCTCAGGCCGTGGGGCTGGGTATGCTGGGCTGGACTGGGCGGTACTTCTCAATCACCTCCCGCAGCCCCTTGGAGAAGTGCAGGTCTGCGCCCACTGTGATATAGCCCTGCAGGGACAAAGGAGCGGAGTCAGCATGACACAGCCCCTGCTTGCTCTGCTGGGAGGGGGGCCCCATCGCCCCCAGGCATGCCTGGAGCTCCCTGCCAGCACGTACCAGGTGGTTGGCGACCACCTCCTTGGTGAAGTCCATGCCCTCCGGCAGTGGGATCTGGACCCCCTTCTTTGTCCTCTCTGCAGGGAGAAAAGGAGCAGTTACAGGCTGCCCTTGTGCCCAAGCCTGCCCTGCCAGCTCCAGTCCGTACTGTTAATGATGGGCATGACGGTCAGCTGCAGCAGTGTCTTCAGTGGGGTCTGCAGTGAGAACAGCTGGGGAGAGAAGAGCCAGGGTCAGAGCACTGCTGGGGTGGGCAGCTACTCAAGGTTGGCATGGGGGCTGCCGCAGGGGCTCTGAGCCCTGTCAGGGTTCCCTAAGCACAGCGAGGGGGGTCATGCCTGGGCACCACTGGAGCCTCCCCACTGCACTCCCCCACCCTGGGCCTGGCTGCATTCGGCCCCACTCACCGCCAGAGACTCCAGCGCCGACTGCTTGGAGTAGATGCGGAACCTATGGGAAGAGATGGGGTCAGCACAAGCCCTGCCTCCCCACTCCCTCCGCACCAGCAGTTGGCTGGGGGCAGCCCGTGTGTCAGGACCCTGGGCTGTGTCTTCACCAGGGTCCATGCATGCCCCAGGGGCTGGCAGCACCAGCATTACCTCCTCAAGTCCAGCTGCACCTGCAGGGCCTTCTGGCGCAGCATCACCTTGGCACTCAGCCGTGCTTCCTGGAGAGGAGACAATGCCCTGCCCATTGCTGCCGTGGCTTCCCCTCACCCCGGCAGCCTGGGGCAACAACCACAGCCAGACCCCATGCAGGCTCCCCAAGCTCTTCCCATGCCCAGCTGCACCGCAGCATGGACATGCAGGTGCACGGGGACTCCCTGCTGTGCCCAGGCCACGCATGTGCCCCTTTGCGGGCCCTGCTCTCAGGACAGGAGGGCACTCACCATGCTCATGCTGGACAGCTGCACAGGAGGCTGCTCCGCGGGCACCAGGGAGATGTTGAGCACGGCATTGACGGAGACAGCGGTGCCCGTGGGCCTGATGGTGCAGCGTGGGGGCATCACCACCTGCAGCACCATCCTCAGTGGCGCGTCCACCACGGCTGGGCTCTGCGGGGGCAGCAAGTGAGGGGGACACTGGGGTGCCGTCTTTCTGGCAGCAGTTGCCCAGGGCTCCTGGAACATCCCCCGCCCGCCCGCTCTCCCCAGCCCCCACGGCTCTCACCATCATGAGGATGCTGCCGAAGAACGTGGCTCTCAACAAAACCTCCAAGTCCTTGGGCACCTGAAACAACGGGAACTGTCCTGCGCATGGGGGTCAACACACCAACCCCCAGGGCCACGTGTGGCACTTGACGCTGCTGATCAGTGCCCCCCAGTCCGCACACCGGCCCCTCACCTGGTCCCCCTGGAACTCCATGGTCAGCACGCCCGCCTGGAAGTAGGAGAACATGGCCGAGTCGAAGAAGTACTCGGAGAAGGCCACGTACACCATGCGCTCCGTCTCCTTGATCTCTGGCTGTTCCCCCTTGTTCACCAGCGTCTGGTTCTCGGCTTTCTGGTAGAAGAACATGCCCTGGGTGGAAGAGAGCGGGTGAGCCCTGCCCCCGCAGCATGGAGGGCCGTTGGCCCTGGCAGGCAGGTGCTGGGGGGGCTGCAGTTGCCTCCAGGACTCACCCTGAAGTCCATGTCGAGCGTGTCCCAGGTGACGATAGGGTCGCTCAGGAGGGAGTAGTCGATGCCGACGTGCTCGTCCACTGGGTTCCTCACTGCATGGGGATGGGGTCGGTCACCCAGGCCCCCTTGGACCCCACCCAACCCCCGGGCTCCATCGTGCCTTCCCTGTCCCCCGCTGGCCGCATCAGCTCACCTGGCACCGTGTCCAGCAGCGAGTTGAGCAGCACCAGCCCCGCATGGTTCAGCGCTGGGCAGATCTGAAACGGAGACCGTGGCCCGGGCTGGTGAGAGTGGGGCCAGGGCCACAGGAGGCAGGCCGGGCCTCCGCACACCTCCAGCCTCATCTGCCAATTCTGGAGCAGGCTGGAGAGCTGTGGAAGGGAAAGGCACTGGCACAGCGCATGCGCTGCTGGCACCAGATGCCTGGCCCGGGGGTCTGTGCAGTAGCAGGGCAGGGCAAGGCCTTACCTGCTGGTTGAGGACAAAGCGCATCCCCGTGGTGAGGAAGAGACCCAGAAACTCATAGACCTTCCTGCGGGGACGGGACAAGCTGTCACACCCCTGCCCCTCCTGGCCATGGCTAGGGCCTGGGGCCCTGGAGGGGATGCCAGAGCCAGGGTCCATGCTGGGGGGTCCTGGCACGTGGGCAGCCAGTACCTGAGCGTGCCCGAGAAGCCGGCCTGCATGCGGGCGATGGAGGCGTTGCAGGTGATGTTGGAGATCTTGAGGCGCCCAGCCCTGTCCTTGGACAGCTTCAGTGCAGTGTGGACGTAGACACCGAGCGCCGAGGCATTGATGGAGCCCACGTCATAGCTGCGGAGCAGCAGCAGCATGGGTGAGAGGCGGGGGGCAGGCAGGGCTGCCCCAGGGACCGCCAGAGCTGCAGGGCACTGCTGCAGGCGGGGGCTGCGGGGGGCATGGCTTACAAGAACCAGTAGAGCAGCTGGCGGCGGAAGCGCAGGCTGATGGAGGCGTTGTTGATGCTGAAGGCGATGTGCTGCTGGGGCTGGAAGTGCAGGTCAGAGAGGGCCAGGTGCAGCGCCATCACCTTCACCCTGCGGGGATGAGCGACCTCAGCCCTGGCCCTGCTGCTCTGGCCGTGTGGCAGGGAATGCCTGCGCCCCCACCCTGCCGGCCGGCTGCGTCTGTCCTGGGCAGCTGCAGCCTAGTCCTGGTGCCTGCTCTCCCCCGGCAGGCGGGCACAGCCCTGCAGGCTCGGCCGTTCCCCTCCCCGTGGGCTCGTGGCCAGTGCGTGCCTGGAGCCCTGCTCCCCGGGCTGGCTGGCAGTGGCCAGCCAGGACCCCGGGGCCCAGGGCAGGACCCCCCTCCCCGCTCCGGCACGGCGCTCACTGGCTGATGTTGTAGTGGAACTGGCCCTCCTTGCCCTGCAGGTCGGGGATGCTCATGTTCTCCAGCTCCTGCTCCACGAAGCGCAGCCCTTCCTGCTTCACTGCAACACAGTGGCACTGGCTCTGCCTCCTGCCTGTTCCCAGGGCACCCGCCCTGCCACCCGGCTCAGAGCCCCCCACCTCCTCCTCCAGGCCCCCTCCATCTCCACCCGCCACCCTCCCTGCGGCCACTCACCCAGGTCCAGCCCCTTGCCCGTGATGCGGATCTTGCAGCCGGGGGCCGTGGCTGTGGCTGTGGCCGCGACCAGGCAGGGCAGCGCGAGGAGCAGGAGGCTGCACGGGGCCATGGTGT